TCCTACTCTTTTATTATACATGTAAAAATATTTTCTATCCAATAAAAATGTATTGGTAGTCTGTGATAAACTATTCCAAGACCACATAATATTTCCTCATGTTAGTTTCTTAATCTACTACATGTAGAAAAATTGTGTAAATGTTGGTTGTGGAAATTAGTGTCTACAAATAGTAAAACTGAATATGATTAAAATTTGACATTATTATAGACTTTTACTACACCAAAATATACTTGTTTTAAAATTGTTTATTTGGTTACTAAGTATATTTCATGCATGTTTATACTAACCTAAATATTCATATTTTTAACATGAAACTTCTTCAAGAATTACTTTTATTAGTATAAAAATAAAATTCTGTTTGGAATGAAGCAATATTTCTGCTTATATGTGTAGAATTAAAGTAAATGAAGAACAAGAGCATAAAAATAGCAGTTTCATTAGAAATCTTAATTGTATTTGTATAACATGGGAAGTGTTTCATCGCTTTGGGTTTTTCTAGGTAACTATTGCTACATCAAGCCCAATGGCATCAGAATGATTCTAACTCACAGCAACATACAAGACAGAGAAGTTAGCAGCCAAATGCTTACTTAGCTCACTGTACCACTCAAAAAAACAAACAAAACAAAACAAAACCCAGTTCACTGCCATGTAGTAAATGCCAACGAATAGACACCCTATAGGACAGAGTAGCACTATCACTGTGCATTTCTGAGACTGAACCTCGTCCCAGGAATAGAAAACCCCATCTTTCTCCAACAGAGTGGATAGTGGTTTTAAACTGCTGACCTTGCCATTAGCAGCTCAACGAGTAACCACTACCACCCCAGGAGTGCTCCTTAGATATTGCTGTAGTTGATTTTATTAGAAATAACATAAAAGCATTTAGATGGTGATTATTGTAACTTATGTTTACTTGTTACTAATTTTTATGTTTGCCATACAATTTAATTTTACTTTAATTTTACTTCTAACTGTCATAAAAGAGTGAGAAATGCATTATATATTTAATGAGGATTTGGAAATATAACCATTAAATGTCAGTCCTGAATAGTCACCAAACTTTTTTATATTTGAAAGGGTAAGTTCTTAGATAAAATATTAATATAGTTGAACTTTGAAATCTTGGTTTTTCTATCATGGAAGAAATCTTCTTCCTAAAATGTCTTCCCAGTAAGATTTTGGTATCAGGAAAACAAAAAGAAATGATCAATGCAATATATTTTTAATTTTTCTTACAGTCTTTCTGAGTAAAAATCTTAATTTGTACACCAGACAAAATTAATGTACATCCCTGAAGGATTGTTTTGATTACACTTGATTATATTTTGGCAGCTTGTATTATGATAAAAGAAAGAATTAAAACATGGATATATTTTACTGATCCAAGAGGAAGAACCCTACTGTTCAACAAATATCAACTTTGTGATTTGAAGCAGAGCTCGCAGTAACCATCTTATCATAAATGTCATGTTTTGTAGACAACACAGCTGGAATTGAAACCCGGAGAAATGGATACAGCCGCAGGCAGCAAGAGTTGTATTTCCTCCCAATCATAATAGAAGACAGTAGTTATCCTGTGCAGAGCAGCACCAACACAATGACTATTCGAGTTTGTAGATGTGACACTGATGGTACCATCCTGTCTTGTAATGTGGAAGCAATTTTTCTACCTGTAGGACTCAGCACTGGGGCTTTGATAGCAATCCTACTATGCATTGTCATACTTCTAGGTTGGTTTAATTATGAATCACACTATCTCTGTCTCTTTCTTCTTTCTCTCTGTTTCTCTGTCTCTTCCCAATTTACCATGAAAGGCAGTTTTTCTGCACTGATATGGCATGCTTATAAAAATTAAATTTATTTTACAGTTCATTTCATTTTATAGTTCATATACATATATATTTATTTACATATATATATATATATTTACAGATGTGTATATATATATTTTTTTTTTACAGATATGTATATATATATATATATATATATATATATATATATATACACACACACACACACCAGGTAGGAACTATGAAGTGAATACATATATACATACACATATGTGCATGTCAAAAATATATAACATCATCACAAAACACACAAAAACCTGGCCAAGACCTAGGAGATTTTCAAGTCACCGGAGTTTGTGGTCCTTGTCATAATGTAAGCTCTAAAACAAATATCCTTCCTCATGCCGCGACCCTATAATACACTTCCTCATGTTGTGGTGACACCCTCAAGCATAACATTATTTTCGTTACTACTTCATAACTGTAATTTTGCTACTGTTATGAATGGGTGACCCCTTTGATATGGTCATTTGAACCCCAAAGGGGTTGCGATCAACCGGTTGAGAACCACTGAGCTACAGTAAAGATTTATCAATCTGTTATGCCTACTGGTAATCATTCGTGTATAAATGGATATTATATAATAGTTTAAGAAATGCCAAGTGGATGAGAGCTCTCTAGGCAAAGAAAGAAATGGCGGTATGAAAGAATAGCAGGAAGTAAGGAAGCCGCAAATTAGTTCACTTTACCTTTCTTAAATTGCCAATGAAAAGTGATGCATAGCCTACATTTCTGAAAACTCCTCATATCAAAATTTTACTTAGGGCTTTGAACTGGTTCATTCTGGTTCAGTCGTGGCCAACAAAGGAAGCTGGAATGGACCAGAATTTATAAAATGTGGGTGTACCAGATTGATAACTAGAATGAGAAACAAAATTATGAATTGACACCCCGTTAGAAATGTAAGCTCCCGCTTGGACAGCAAGAACAGTATGTGTGCTACCTAGCAACTCCATGTCTTTACCAACAGCATTGGAAACAGCGGTGCCTGGCTCCGATACGGCAACTAACTGCTCACCTTTGAATGCGTGTCACTCTCCATCATCCTAGCAATAAGCCAGTCACTAATCAATAATCCTGCAAGCATTCACCAAGGCTCTGACATAACCCACCAGCTAGGATTTTTCCCCATTCTTGTTATTGTTCTAGTACACCCACATTTCATATGTCCCAATTTGTTCTGATTTCCTGAATTGGCCATGACAGACCTAGCTGTGAACTAGTCTAAAGTGCAGATTCTAACTTTCCCCACTAGAGCAGGAGAAAACAGAACAGAGCAGGGGAAGTAGATGCATTCTGTAATGTCTCTGCTATTGTGAATTGAAAACTACTTTAGCATTTCCCTCTTCCATCAACTGTTCTGTTGACTCAATTCCACTTACTAATTCACTGCCTTGAGTCACAAAGTGAGAGACAACTTTTCTGTTTGATCTCTCACACCTTTAAGTGCAATAGGCTTTGAACTGCCTTATAAAAAAATATTCTGAGAAATGTAAATATCTCCTTTCCTCTTGGTTATCAAAAATTAAAAATAAGAAGAATGTTTTGTAAAACACAGAGACCTTACACCAGGTATTCATTGCACAATCATTTGTAGAGAACATTCCTAAATCAGTAGCTCACACTGACTTCCAGGGTGAACTTCTTGTCTAATTCATATGGTGTGATTAGGCATTGAGCTGCTTACAGTAACATCTATTGTTCAAACCCATCAGTTGCTCTGTGAGTTAAAGATGAGGTTGTTTGCTTCCATTAGGATTTATAACCTCCATAAACGTATATGGCAGTGCTTCTCAACTTGTGGGTCATGACCCCTTTAGAGGTCGAACAGCCCTTTCATAGTGGTCGCCTAAGACCATCAGAAAACATATAAATATTTCACAATATATAATTACATATTGCTTTTTGATTACTCATTCTGCTTTAATTAGGTTTAATTATGTTCAATTTGTATCAATGAAAATACATCCTGCATATCAAATATATACATTACAATTCACAATACTAGCAAAATTACAGTTATAAGTAGCAACAAAACTAATGTGATGGTTGGGGGTCACCACACATGAGGACCTATATGAAAGGGGCGTGCATTAGGAAGGTTGAGAACCACCGCTGTATATGGTCCCTGTGAGTCGGAATCAGCTCATTGGCACCAGGCTTGGTTTGGTTTGTGAGTTATTAATTCCAGACAACCAATAACGTGGATGTACATAAAAAGCATTCCTTTTTGCCTATAATTTATAAAAATGATCTCTGGCATCTGTTTGTGTTGAGGTCTGACATATTAGAATAGATTCAAAGCAACAGTAAGCCAAATACTAAAGAAAAACTCCTGTTATTGAGTCCATTTTAACTCAGAAACAAGTTCCTGATAGGACTGAGGAGCCATCGGGTGCCCATGGCTATACTCTTTACAGAAATAGGCTGCCTCCACTTGCTCCTGGAGAGTGGTTGATGGGCTCAAACCACAGGTCTTTCAATTAATAGATGAACACTCAGCCGCCGCCTCACCCAAGCTCCTTCAAAGTGAAAAATTAAGACTTCTTTAAAACTGAAAATGATCAATTATGCCTTGAATTTTAAATCAAGCTTTCCCCAGACTTGCTCTTTTCTTCAAGAGCAACGTGAACACCTCAGTCTTTCAATATGAATCAGGAATGGCCTGCCATGTTCTGGATGCGTCTCTAGCCTCTAGAGCCGCCTTACAGAATGGTCAATAATGGGTTCATGTCCGGGTTATCACTGCCACATGCCTCTCCTCTATCAAAGTACTGTCTACATGTCCCGAATAGGACTTCACTGTATTTCTCTCTGCCACTAGTGGAGTCTGACTCAGAGCAGACCTATGGGACAGAGAAGAGCTGGTACTGTGGCTTTCAAGACGTTAATTTTTTATGGGTGTAGAAAGGTATGGGCTGTTAATTGCAAGGTCAGCAATTCTAAACATCCAGCTACTCTGTGGGAGCAAGATAAGGCTTTCTACTCCCATGGAGAGTGACTATCTGAGAAACCCACAGGGTCAGTTTGACCCTGTCCTATAGGGTCACACTGAGTCCAAATAGACTCTATGTCAGTAAAGGAGAGAGAGAGGGTCAGACTGCTTGAGTTTGCTTTGTACTAGGCACTGTGAAATGGCTGGACAGACAGCAGTGAATATTGACCCCATTGTCCGACCATACATTTTGCATAAAATCCACCAGCTCCTTCACATATTAACAGATCCAGATGCCTTTATATCTTCTAGCTTCTTCTTAGCCATTTTAATACCCTTCTTGGGGTGAAATGAAGCACAAGAATGCGGGGGTGTTTGGGCCTATTTCTGGCAGCTCTCAGTACATTTATTTAGCTCTTTCCTAAGTCATGACCGCTCAGATGCTACTTCATATGGGCAACTGTACTGCATGCCTTGCAGCATCTTGCTCGCAGACAAAAGCCTTGTTTCATTGTCACTCATTCTTTACCTTTTAATCCAATAACCAGAATATCTCAAACCCTATTGTGGCAAAATCAAACACACTTGGGTGTTGAATGATTGGCATTACCACTGAATGGGGTGGTGGCAGTGAGTGGCTCATGCCAAACATATATTAGCACTGACTTGATTGTGCCATCCACCCTAGAAATCATAAACACCGTTGTCTTAAATGCTCAGCTGCTGTGAGGCAAATGACAACAAATAGGGATTTAAAATAATGATGTAAAAATACTGTCTTCTTTCTTGACGATGGTCAGAATAACAAAGACTTGATTTAGAAAACGTAGCAGGCATAGAATGTCCCTTAGTGAAGGATCTTATTTGGACTAATTAGTGAAATTCAGACCCTCATAATCTTTCTGTCATCTCTTCTTCCTTTAATGTATCACTCTGTGTCTGTTTATCATCGACTTTTAGATTTTGTTGTGAATATTTGTGTTTATTTCATTAGACATGAACAATATTGCTGTGTTGTTAAAAGTTAAACCGTGAACTTAGCTATGCATGATTTTTTATGTTGTTTACAGGCTACATTATTCATGTTAAGTTCCAGATATATATGTTCTTTTGGGGTTGTTTTTTGTTTTGTTTTTTTGCACGTTTGTAACATGAAAATTTTACCTACCACTTAAATAGGTCAATGCAGTACATTGTTTGATTTTATGAGTAATATTGTTGTGGTTTCACATTATTGACAATTTAAAATTGAGTTTAGACAATGGCAACATGTGCATGATTCCTTCTGATTATAGTACACACACACACACACACACACACACATACACACACACACACACACACACAGTATATAGTAAATAATAGATCACTCCAGAAATTCAACCTTGCTCAGTTTTCCATTTCGTTTTCACTTGAAGCATGCATTGGCACATAACCTCTCTCTTCTCAAACGTACGTTTTGCTCTGTTCCAGCCATCGTGGTGCTGTACGTGGCGCTCCGAAGGCAGAAGAAGAAAGATACCCTGATGACCTCGAAGGAAGATGTCAGAGACAACGTGATCCACTACGACGACGAAGGCGGCGGCGAAGAGGACACCCAGGCTTTTGACATCGGTGCTCTGAGGAATCCAAAAGCGATTGAGGATAACAAAATTCGCAGGGATATAAAACCAGACTCTCTTTGTTTACCTCGTCAGAGACCAGCAGTGGAAGATAATACAGATATAAGGGATTTCATTCATCAAAGGCTACAAGAAAATGACGTAGACCCCACCGCCCCTCCATATGATTCATTGGCCACGTACGCCTATGAAGGCAATGGGTCGGTAGCGGAATCGCTCAGCTCTATAGACTCTGTCACCACAGAGGTGGACCAGGACTACGACTTTCTCACTGACTGGGGACCCCGCTTCAAAGTCTTGGCAGACATGTTTGGTGAGGAAGAGAGTTATACTCCTGATAAAGTCACTTAAGGGAAAATGGAAGCTAAAACACAACCGAGAGGAAAATCCATTTTAAAAACATAGAAAAAGAAAGGGGAAAAAAACACACTAATAAATCAATCTCTCTCTCTCTCTCTCTCTCTCTCTCTCTCTCTCTCTTTCTCTCTCTCTCTCATTTCCCACACACATACACACAAGCTTTATAGGACAAGATTCCTTTAATTATCTGGTTTATAGCAAGTTGCTATGTTTACCATATTGTCAGTTTTGGTTTATTCTGCCAACATGAGCTAAATCCTCTAATATCTACTTGCTTTGTTTTGTTTTGTTATTTTGGAAACACACTGAGAAGAGATCAGGGCTCTTAACTACAATTGACTGACATGACAACCCAGAAGGAAGATGGCATCATGGTGGAAGAGTGTTAGATTTTTCTTAATTCCACTAAAGTGCCTATTGAAACTCTTATCATTTAAAGGGTGTACAGCGCTCTCTGCTGTGATGGCATCCAGGATTCAGAGCTAAAGAGGACAGGAAACAAAGACGGTCTTCACGCCAAGGAGCAATAGCAACATGCTGACTCTTCTGATTCCTTCTGAGGAAAAAGAAGAACACTTTATGAACTTCGGCTTCTTATTACTCAAATTCTTTCTTTGTTTTTCTTTTGTAAACTGTATGCCAAAAACCTATTCGTTTTCCCAATCTTTCCGGAAATAGAAATAAATGTGCTCTCAAATTCAATATGTAAATCCAGATTTTTAAAAGAAATGTGTGATCTTATGATGAGTTTGCATTAAAGCTGTTCGTTAAAATGTTACCTTCCTTTTCTAAAAAGCGAAAAATTTAAAAAGAACATTGAAATTATCCCTCTTTATAACGAGGCCTCAGGACTCAGACTCCACATTAAAATAAATACTGGTTTTGTTTAATACTGTACTGGTGTGTGGAAGCTTGGTTTTAAAGTGTAACCACGTAATTTAAGCCTTGAGTCATGGGTATAATTTCAAGATAAATGTCTAAGAAATGTTGGGGGTGGGTGAGGGGTATAATTATTGTAAATATGAGGGAGACATTCTTTACCCAGCTTCTCAGGGCTGTTTTTAAATCAATGGTTCTCTGCTGAACAAAGAAAATAAAATATATGTTAAATGTGACATACTTCAAGTTCATACATGGTACATTTATAGCATATCTAAAACATTTTATACATTGATGAAAAAAGTTTAAAAGATCAAAGATTTGCAAAGATCATAATAAGAGCTGACTCCTAAAATGAGCACAATCTCAAAATAAGATAGCTAATGCACTTATTTTACTAACATAGATTTCATTTGTGTGTGTGTATGTGTGTAAACAGTTATTAGATAGTAGCTCAGTTTCATCTTTGTCATCTATAACAATTCTAATCTACACAAGCCCCTACATCTCCTTGCAGAGAACATTTTTTTCTATTTTTAATATAGATTTATGAAGGACAAAAGACTTTATAAACCCTTAGGTAAATTACATCCTTATACAGTATTTCAAGTAAATTGTACCTTATTTAGAAATGAATATAGCGAAGGCAATAATTATAAAGTTATATTATATTTATATAATGGGTTACTAAAATATGGCAACATTTATTGGAAAATGTTAAAATGGCCTATAGATTCATTCTAAACCAATGGTTCTTGTTATGGGTATGTGCTAACAAGTGGATTTCTTGCTCCTGGGGTTAACCCAGGTGACAGAGGAACACTGCCACTGGGCTTTTAGGATGTAGTCTTCATAAGAGCTGATCACCAGGCCTTTGTAAGTAGAGATACTTGATGGGTTTGAGCAAAGTTTTTAATTATTGTGACAACCAAATCAACCAGAATAAGAAAAGGAAAAAAAAGGGTGCGTGGGGGCAGATTGCCACAGCTTTCTCCTGCAGAGCGGTCGGTTGATTAAAACTGCCCTCCTTTGTTAACACTATATAACAGCTCCACTCCCTGAAGAACTCACCACTGCCATCAAGTTGATTCTGACTAATAATGATCCAATGGGACCAAGCAGAACAGCCTGAACTAGTGTGTGAGGCTGTAGTTCTTTACTGGCCCTCCTTCTATGGTTCATATCTAGGTACATAGAGAGATAGTGAATGTAAATATCCCCACAGGCATAGAATTATAGATAATATAGACAACTTCCATATTTGCTATCACATACTTTCTTTCAAATCATCTAACTTAGACATATGTTTCACTAATTGACCCTATACACCTGCATTTCTCTTCACTTTTGGGCCTTTCTGGTTTGCATTCTCCTGGTTCTCAATATCAAAGAAAAGCTGCTGTATTTATTTTCCTCAACATTAACTTAGTCTCTGTCCTAGAACTTTGTGAGAATACCCTTGTTGTGTCCTAGTCTTTAGCGTGCTGTAGGAAATGTTCATCTAAATTGTAAAAGACTGGTGATGTCATAACTAGAATGGAAAGAGAAATTAACCAACTTCTGGGTTTTCCCAGCAACATGATTTGCTACAGAATGATGCATGGACCCTAAAAATGACTGGTATGCAAGATAACTTTTGGCTGACAAGCATCATTTTATTTTCATTTTACTAGGGAATCCAACTGCTTGTATATCTGTAATTCTAGCATAAACTATGGTGACTTGAAAAATAAAAATCTTTGGAGGGACTGTGATGCTAAACAAAAATATATAACTGATATAGGTTATTTTCATCAAGTGAATGAGTCTTTCCCTGTGCCTTGATCTCTCTCTTTCATTCTTTTGTAAGTCCGCATAGATGGAAACACAGATGGAGATCACATGATACAATTTTAGAAAACCAGGGACTGCTTCATCAAAAATACCTTTTTTTCAACAGCATAAATGTCCCCATACACCCGTGGACTTCTCCAGATGGAATATACAGAAGTCAAATTGACTATATCTGTGAAGACTTTGGAGAAATTCCACATCAGCAGCTAAAACCAGCCCAGTGACTGCGTTTGGAAAAGACCCTCAATTGCTCATATGCAAATCAAGTTGAAGCTGAAGAAATAAAAACAAGTCGACTAGAGTCCAATAGATCTTGAGTATAACCCATCTGAATTTGTAGAACATCTCAAGGAAAGATTTGAGGCATTGAACACTGATGATGGAAGGCATGGTGAATTACAGGATGACATGAAAAATATAATACATATCTAAAGAAAAAGATGTTTAAAAATACAGTAAAAATAGATCAAAGTGGATGTCAGAAGAGACTCTGAAACTTGCTTTTAATTGCAGAGTAACTTTGGTAAATGAGAGAAATGATGAAGTCAAAGAGTTGAACAGAATAATTCAAAGGGCAGCTTGAGAAGACAAAATAAAAGATTAAACTAAAGTGAGCAAAGACCTAGAGTTAGAAAACCAAAAAGGAAGAAATATTTTGAGAATGATGATGGCAACAAATTTACAAATGTGCTGACACAATGGGTGGATGGTTGGATTGTGATAAGGGTTGTCCGAGCCCCCAATAAAGTGATTATTAAAAAAAGGAAGAAATAGAAAAAACTTTAAAAAATCAAGCTTAAAGTTCCAATATTAAAAGACTTCATGGGTAACTATTGAGTTATGCAGAAAGCCTCCAAAGAAGATGGGAAGACTACAAAGTGCCGCTATACCCAAATGACTGGTTGTCATTCCACCACTTCAAGTGGTAGCAGATGAGCAAGAGCTAATGGTACTGAAGGAAGATATTCCCATTGCACTGAAAGCATTGGCCTAAAACAAGGCTCTAGGAATTGTTGAAATACCAATTGAAGTGTTTCAATAAGCTGCTGAAGCCCTGAAAACACTCACTCGTCTATGCCAAGACATTTGGAAGACTGCTACTTGATCAACTGTCTGGAAGATACATATTTGTAGCTATTTCAAAGAAAGCTGAACTAACACACTGCTCAAATTATAAACAGTATCATTAACACCACATATAAGTAAAATTTTGCTGAAGATCATCCAACAAAGATTATAGTAATACATTGATAGAGAGAGCCAGAGATAAGGCAAGATACAGAAGAGAACTTGGAACAAGGGATATCATTGCTGATGTCAGATGGACCTTGGCTGAAAGCAGAGACTACACCAGAGAGATGTTTACTTGTGTTTTATTGACTATGCCAAGGCATTCAACCGGGTGGATGACAACAAATTATGCATAGCCTTGAGAAGAACGAGAACTCCAAAATACTTCATTGTGCTCATGTTGAATCTGTACATGGATCATGAGGCAGCTGTGAAAATAGGACAGGGACATGATTTCACAGTTCTGTGGACAGAACATGCTTTACAATCAGAGAAGATGTGCAAAAAGATTGCATCCTCCCACCGTACTCACTCAAACGTTATGTTAAGCAAACAAGAAAAGACACTGTATCATATGAAGAAAAATGGGGATTAGGATTGGAAGGAAGGCTTATTAACAACTTGCTACATACATATGACATAGCTCTGCTTGCTGAAAGTAAGAAAGACTAAAAATGTGCTGTAATTGACTTTAATAAAATGAAGATCAAGGATTGCCATCTTCACTCAGTGTAAAGAAGACCAAAATTGTCACCATTGAACCCATAGACAGAGACATGTTTGAGATTTGCAAGATATTCATCTTACTAGGATCCACTATCCATGCCCATGGAAGTGTCAGTCAAGAAATTGCATAAACACATTGCATTGTGTTAATCTGCTGAACAAGACCTATTTAAAGGGTTCAGAAACAAGGATGTAACTTTGGGAACTAAGGTGCGCCTAATGCAAGCCATGCTATTTTCGATTTACTCGGGAGCATGTGAAAGTTGGACATTGAGGAAAGAAGATGGAAGGCGAATTGAAGCATTTGGGTTACAGTGCTGGAGCAGTGTGTCGAAAGCATCATAGGCTGCCAGAATAACCAATGAACCTATCTTGGACTTACAGCCAGAATGCTCCTTGACGAGAAGGATGGTGAGACTTTGTCTCATGTATGTAGACATGTCGGAAGAGACCAGCGTCCGAAGAAGCAGATTGGACTTGGTAAGGAAGAGGCACAGGGTAAAAGAGGAAGGCCCATGACAAGATGAATTGAGACAATCGGGCAAGGAGGGGGGAAAATGAGCAGCTGATGC